AACCATAAGATCATGACCTGGTTCAAAATCAAGAGTTGGATGCTTAACCAACTCAGCCATCCAGGAGCCTCTTGTAATATTATAATCCAGAAACTGAGCTCTGCACTGAAGTTCACCTTTCCTTACTTGAAATTTATAGTTTAGAATTCAGAGGGGGATAAGAAACTATTAGTAAAATTTACAGCACTTCCAGGTTCAGAGCTTCAGAGATTGCTTCAACTTCAATCCATTTGGGGAGTATGGGGTAAATTTGTCATTTATATAATGTAATAATCAAATCTTTGAGAAGCCAAAAATACCATGTAATTTCTTTTCAAGGAAATAACATATCGCATTGCCTTCGTTATGCTATTCTTTTCAAAACCAATTATGTAATTCAGAATATAATCATACAATAGAATCTATGCATTTTTAAAAGTCACTTAGTCAAAATATACTTCTTGTGAGAAATGAAATGAGTTATTTAGTAAAAAAAAGTCTACAAAACAGATGGCATTTTTGTTTAAACATATATATGTCCAGAAAAGGATATCAAAATATTTATAGAAGTTGTTTTTCATGATGTGTCAGAACTGTAAATGCTTTTGTTCTTTTCTTTGTATTTGTGTGTCTGTGTATTCTCAGTCTCCTGAACTGAGCATAGAAAATACAGTATAATTATAAAACAAGTAATTGGCATTAATAAAAAACTACCTTCTCCAAGTCTTCAGAAGACTCTTTTCTAAAGAACTCTACTGCTATGACTGACAGCAGAGGTGCCAAAGGACAATGCTATGTCACGGAACCTGTGTTTGTGAAACTCCTGGTAGAGATTTTCCCCAAATATTGTATTTTTTATCAGATAGCTGAAACCACATCAGATATTTTTCTCTCTCTTTTTTTATTATTTATTTTTGAGAGAGAGAGAAACAGAGTGCAAGCAGGGGAGAAAGAGAGAGGGAGACACAGAATCTGCAGGCACAAGGCTCTGAGCTGTCAGCACAAAGTCTGATGTGGGGGTTGAACCCACGAACCATGAGATCATGATCTGAGCTGAAGTCAGACGCTGAACACCCCCTCCTCCTGACAGGAGATATTTCTTGAACTTATCTTAAGTAGTATGTTAAGGAGGAATTTGACGGGGGAAAAAAAATCTTAACTGAGAAGTCCTTGACAGAATTTCTCTTTTTATAAATATTTTGAAGATCCAAGCATTTCTTGATATTCAGAGATTAACTGGTATAATGAATTGCTGATCTAATGGTCCTATGTATGAAACCAACCTCAGAAAGTGTTCTTCACACTTAGAAATGATTTTTCAAGACTTTCAATTCCATTTTCCTTTATACTTTTAACTTATTTGAAGATAACATACTTGGATTTATTCTAAGTATTTTATAAAAGTCTTCTTATTAGAAGGTAGGGAGAGAGGAGATCTCTCTCTCTGCCCCCTTCACCGCTTGCATGCATGCACTCTCTCTCTTTCAAAAATAAACATTAAAAAAAAAGAGAGAGATGAAGTTAAGCTCAGTTTATAAAACTCTGTTACTCATGCTACAAATTACTGGCATGAGCATCTGAGTCAACAAAATTTAATAAACAACATATACAACAATCACAACTTTTCTTATTAATTCCTAGATAATTCCAAATTCATGAATGAACAATGGTCTTGCAGCTTAATTCAACTTAAATCTTTATTGAAAACTATTTTGATGCCATTGGCTAATAAAACATAACGATAAAGAAAGTCCCTATTCATTATAAAATAATGTGGCAAGTCTATCACATATAAAATATATGAAATTTGCTGTATGATTGTTCATTTTTTGCATAAACTCAAATCCTGAGAGAAGAGTATTTATTTTACTGGCAGTCAGCTACCTCCAGATACTCAAAGCAATCATAAAATTTTAAAGGGAGAAAATAGAAAAGAACAGATTTTTATAGATTCCCTAATTATCCTAAGGATTCATTACTATATTATCTCAAAAAAACTGAGGAAGGAATTGGGCACCTATAAGATCACTTTCATAGAAAATTCAAATCTATTCTTCTTTTTCAATTTTTTAAAAATGTTTTTATTTATTTTTGAGAGAGAGGGAGTATGTGAACACGAGCAGGGGAGGAGCAGAGAGAGAGGGAGACACAGAATCTGAAACGGGCTCCAGGCTCTGAGGCATCAGCACAGAGCCCAATATGGGGGCTTGAACTCATGAACCACGAGATCATGACCTGAGCCGAAGATGGACACTCAACCAACTGAGCCACCTAGGCGCCCCTCAAATCTATTCTTGAAGCCCTGATTAGCAATACTGACAATATCTGTTTAAACTATAAAATGTGTTTAATAACATTTAACTTAAAGGCTAACCAACACAACTTGTTTTCTGATTTACAACTTAGATCAGGAAAACTAGAGAAGTTACGTCAGAATTAGTTATGAATTTTTATGTCAATGAAACATCACAGATATCCAATATTTAGAAAACAAATATACAAGATCAACAAGATTTTAGAGCTATATTAAACACATACACAAAACCTATACAATGCTTATTAACCTCCAGGCAGTAAGATTTAGTACCTACTACTCACACATACCACAACACAATGTCTAATAATCTCAATGTAATATATAACTTCAGGTCACCAAATGGGTAGTAAACTAGTACAGGGTCTTTATGCTTAAAACTGTAAAAGGGATCAAGAAGCTGGATATTCCAAAGTGCCCCGGGATCCTAATTCTTTTATCTCATATCACCTTCAAAACATCTATAGACAGTGATGGTGGAACTACAGTAGGGTTATGACTATGTTCCTTACATATAAATGCAAGATGACAAGACAACACGTATTTCAGAGTTGGCCTACAACTACAAATTGATTAACTAACACTTAAACAAATAAGCCCTATATGAAAATGAAAAGTCTTAAATCATCAATAAAGTAACAGTTTCTACTAAAATCTATTAAATAAGCACAAACCAATACTAGGTGAAAAATGAATTAAAAGGACCATAATGGTGGTGATAAGAAAAGCTCTAGATACAAAGATTTATAAGATATGATGGCAAGCATGAGACAGGGACTTATTACAGAAGGCCACTTAGCTTCATGACTAATTTCATTTGTATCGTATATGAACTAAAATTAATGACAAACAGAATAAATCATCACAAGATTCTAAACTATAATCCATAGGAAAATGACATAATTCTAATAAGCTAAACATAAATGACAAATAGAATAGCAATATGCCCAGAGAATTATAGTATGGTGAGCTCAAGTACATCAAGTGAAAACCTGGGGATAAAAGAAATGCTGAATGACTGCACTATAGTATGGTCGAACTAAGGCCCAAACTCTTGTTTTTGTGGTCTATGAACTAAGAACTGATTTTACAAATAATCATTTTGATGACACAGATATCAATTTGATGATAGGGAATACTAACTTTTAACTCCAATGAAGAGAAATGTTATAGCCCTCCCTCAAAAGAACTCCGTTCCTCTAAAAGAACTCCATTCCTCTAATTAGTAGCCTTGTATTACAAAAAAAACTATATTCAATTATTAATACATTTTGATGTTCCTCGATGAAAAACTTGAAGAAATTTGTTTTCTCTTGTTGCCTATCTCTATGACATCCTTGATTTGTGTTTTAGCCCACTAAGCCTAAAATATTTTATCTAGCCCTCCAAAGAAAAAGTTTGCCAAACCCTGTATTGGAATATTAATTTGAATAATGGGGAATGGGCTTTTCTGAAACAAAAAAGACCAAATTATTTGAACTCAGATCTGAGTGTAATGTGAGAATCAGAAAGGAAGCAGATCTGCTGAACAAAGGTTAAAATTTAATGTGGAACTGAAAGATGGTTACCCAAAAAAGACTGCATATACCAGAGAGGTTTCAGGTGTAAATCATAAAAAATATGGATAGTTAAGAAGATTCTTGATCACACAGTAGTCTCTTCAACCATACTCACAAAATCACCTTATCAAAAGTAACATATTTTTATAGAATGAAACGCAAGGATTTTTAAGTAACAATCATAGTTCTGTGAACAACTGGTAAAAGCTACTGAGGAGTTATGGCTCAGCAAATAAAAACTAAATTCAAGCTATCTAGATACAAAGCAGATTGGATTCCAAAGTAGTGATTTGATATTGGAAGTCTTTAAGGAAACACTGCAAATCCATCCTGTTAGGAATGTAAGTAAGATGGTTCTTTCACTGATTGGAGAGTTGAACTACAAGACCCCTGGGGAGATTTTCAATTTTACATTTTTAAGAAATATTTAGAAAATCAAGACTAAAACCCAAAAGACAGCAGGTACTGCTGCTTTGAACAAACTGTAACCTTAGAATGAAGCTATCTAGTGGTGTAAATATATAGACACTAGATTTTTTTTAAAGGGGGTGGGAAATTTAAGGTCTCAAATATTAAAAACTCTTAAAAATTACATTTAAAAACTCAATTAAAATCTCACCCCTACTGTTCTTAAGACACAATATTAATTCCAAGATAGTAATATTTTAAATCTAGTGTTGTTAATAAAAGTGCTGATAAGATCAAATAATTAAAATTATATTAAACCCATAAGTCAAAATTCTACTTCTATCAATGCTCTGTTTGTACATGTTGATATTTACATATATTGAAAAAAATACAAGCATCATGTGCTCAGCAGACAGGACATGGCGAGCAAAAATACACATAACTTATGCTTTTATTTGGTGTATATACATTTTAGTGATCTTAAGGCTTTTGAGTACTTTAAATAACAGATATATCCTTGTTTTATGCATACGATATATCTAAAATACCTTTTATAGGATCATATAACAAAAAAATAACTCAATTAGAAACCAAAAGGCTGTGTTCTTATACTTCCTCTATACCTGACCCTGTTATGTGATCTTTTCCATTTTTGAAGTTTTCCCTGGGTGTATGTGATATGGAGTCTTAGAATAACAAAAAAATTCACTGCATTCAAAAACTCTGATTCAAACTCTCACCTTGATTATTTCCACCAATTGATCCACACCACTGTCCCCTGGAAATATTGGTTGTCCTAGCAACAGCTCAGCCAACACACAACCTGCAGACCATACGTCTGTAGAAAAGAGAAAACAAGAGTTAGTAATGCGTGTAGCTTAAGATGCACTGGAAGCTATTTGTATACATGTTCTAATTTCACATTGATCCCAGAATAAATATCACAAGCAAAAAAGTGTAGAATCCAAAACCGAGGGAAGAAAGCCCTCAAACCATCCCTAAAGTGTTAAATTTACCAAAGAGGAAACAAAGCTGATAAGAAAATTCCAACAAAGGGGTAAAGTCTATTTAATTATCAAATATCAGATGTTCAAATCTTCAACAACCAAGGCAGGGGATTACAGCACCCAAACATAGGGCATGCTTATCTACTTATCATACTTTAAAATAAGTCAAAGTGACACAACCTCTGTACATTAGCAGTGCTTACAGAACAGCCACAAACAAGGGTTCAATCTCTTGTCCACAGGATTTTAGGCCAATGTAAATTAGGATAAAAAATTTTAAATCTTAAATGGTTGGCTTCTGTGTTGTAATACAATTGACAGGAAAATGTGCTTAAATGTATTATCATTTTTAAATACAAATATATAGAGGAATGAATTGTATTTCATAAATCCAAAAAACAGAAAAGGAAGGAAAACTTCCAAATTTACTCTATGAGACCAGCATTACCCTGATACCAAAACAAGATAAAGAATCCAATTAAAAAGAGACCTACAGGCCAATATCCCTGATGAACGTGGATGCAAACAGAACCCAACAATACATTAAAAAAAAAAAATTCAACACAATCAAGTGGGATTTATTTCTGGGTTGCAAGCGTGGTTCAATATTCACAAATCAATCAATGTGATACACCACATTAATAAAAGAAAGGATAAGAACCATATAGTTATTTCAATAGATGCAGAAAAAGCATTTGACAAAGTACAACATCCATTCATGATAAAAACCCTCAACAAAGTAGGTTTAGAGAAACATACCTCAACATCATAAAGGCCATATATGAAAAACCCATAGCTAATATCATCCTAAATATGGGAAAACAGAGCTTTTCCTCTCTGGTTAGGAATAAGACAGGATGACCACTCTCACCACTGTTATTTAACACAATACTGGAAGTTCTAGCCTCAGCTATCAGACAAAAAAAGAAATGAAAGGCACCTAAATCAGCAAGGAAGAAGTAAAACTTTCAGTATTTGCAGAATACATGATACCTTATAGAAAACCCAAAACTAAAAAAACTGCTAGAACTGATATACGAATTCAGTAAACTCACAGGATACAAAATAAATGTCCAGAAATCTGTTGCACTTCTATACATCAGTAATGAAACAGCAGAAAAAGAAATTAAGGAAACAATTCCATTCAAAATTGCTGCAGAAACCATAAGATACCTAGGAATAAACCTAACCAAAGAGGTGAAAGACCTGTACTCTGAAAACTATAAAACACTGAGGGGCTGGGGGGGGGGGGGGGGGGGGGGGGGGGGGGGGGGAGAAGCAGAAATGGAAAGACATTTCATGCTCATGGATCAGAAGAACAAATACCATTGAACTGTCTATACTACCCAAAGCAATCTATACATTTAATGCAATCCCTATCAAAATACCACCAAGCAATTTTTGCAGAGCTAGAACAATCCTAAAATTTGTACAGAACCACAGAAGAGCTCAAATAGCCAAAGCAACCTTGAAAATGAAAAGCAATGTTGGGAGCATCACAATTCTTGACTTAAAGTTGTATTACAAAGCTGTAGTGTTCAAAACAGTATGGTACTGGCACAAAAACAGACACATAGATCAACAGAACAGACCAGAAAACCCAGAAAAGAATCTACAACTATATGGTCAATCCTCAATAAAGCAGGGAAGAATATGCAATGGGAAAAAGATTGTCTCTTCAACAAATGGTGCTGGGAAAACTGGACAGCAACACGCAAAATAATGAAACTGGACTTTCTTACACCAAACACAAAAATAAATTCAAAATGGATTAAAGATTTAAAAATAAGACCTGACGGGGCGCCTGGGTAGTTCAGTCGGTTAAACGTCTGAATTCAGTTCAGGTCATGAGCTCACGGTTTGTGAGTTCGAGCCCTGCATCGTGCTCTGTGTTGACAGCTCAGAGCCTGGAGCCTGCTTTGGATTCTGTGTCCCTCTCTCTACCTCTTCCCCACTTGTACTCTGTCTCTCTCTATCTCTCAAAGATAAACATTAAAAAAAATTTTTTTTAATAAAAATAAGACTTGAAACCATAAAAATCCTAGAAAAGAATATAGACAATAACCTCTCTGACACTGGCTACAGAAACTTCTTTCTAGATATGTCTCCTGAGGCAAGGGAAACAAAAGCAAAAATCAACTATTGGGAATTCATGAAAATAAAAAGCTTCTGCACAGCGAAGGAAACAATCAACAAAACTAAACGTCAGCCTACAGAATAGAAGGTATCTGCAAATGGCATATCTGATAAAAAGTTAGTATCCAAGATCTATAAAGAACTTGTCAAACTCAACACACCAAAAATGGGCAGAAGACATGAACAGACATTTTTCCAAAGACAAACCGATGGCTGAAAGCAATATGAAAAGATGCTCAACATCACTCCATCATCAGGGAAATAAAAATCAAATCTACGAGATATCTCACCTCACATCTGTCAGAATGGCTAAAATCAACAACACAAGGTGTTGGCAAGGATGTGGAGAGAGGGGAACCCTATTGCACTATTGGTAGGAATGCAAACTGGTACAGCCATTCTGGAAAACAGTATGGAGGTTCTTTAAAAAAAAAATAGAGCTACCCTACAACCCAGCAATTGCAGTACTAGGTACTTACCTAAAGAATACAAAAATCCTAATTCAAAGGGATACACACACCCTAATGTTTATAGCAGTATTATCTACAATAGCTAAATTATGGAAACAGCCCAAGTGACCATCGACTAATGAATGGATAAAGAAGATACGGTATATATGTGATGGAATATTAGCCATAAAAAAGAGCAAAATCTTGCCATCTGTAACAACATGGATGGAACTAGAGTGTTATGCTAAGCGAAGTCTGACGAATGAGAAATACCATATGATTTCATATGTGTAATTTAAGAAACAAATGAGCAAAGAGAAAAAAAATATAGACAGAGGCAAGCCAAGAAGCAGAATCTTAACTATAGAGAAGAAAGTGATGGTTATCAGAGGGGAAGTCGGTAGGGGGATGGGTTAAGTAGATGATGGGGATTAAGGAATGCACTTGCTGTGATGAGCACTGGATGTTGTATAGAAGTGTTGAATCATTATACTGTACACCTGAAACTAATATTACACTGTATGTTAACTGGAATTTAAGTAAAAGCTTTAAAAAAGGACAAAAAAAAAAGGGAAATCCTTGAAGAGGTCAAGGTTAAGATTAGAGATATAATCATTAATTTTCAATATGTAAGTTTTGTTATTATTATGGTATATCCAGGTGGTAACTTGGGTAAGAAGCGGACTATATATACTATCTGGTATGAGGATGGTTTATTTAACTGTGCATTGCTTATTTTAGCCAACTAGAAGTTTTCTGTACTTAGTTTTTCAATATATGAATTTTTCATGTTAAAAAAAAGAAAAAAGTACCAGGTGAAAGGACGTTAGGGTAAAGAAGAGCTTCATGATAGCAAAGGACAAGCACAAAGGAAAATAAGAGATGTGAGAATGAATATCAAGGTATATGAAAGCAAGCAGAGTCAGAAACCAAGCAGAATGAGTACCAAGAGAAAATGAAATATGTAAACTACAATTGAGGAGAGAAAAGAAATGAAGGAGGGAAGAGTCCAAATTTGGATGGGAATGTGAGATCTGAGCCTGCCAGCTAGTTATTTTGTTGTAAAATTAAAATACTTTAAGAAAAAAAAAAAAACCAAGACAAAATAATTCACTTTTACCTCAATCCTGAGAGCAAACTTTTAAAATAAGTTTTAATAATTTATAACTAAATTTAATTAACAAAAAATAATTTAAAGTACACAATACTGGCTTACCCAAGATAGTCCTGGTTTAGATTTACTGTCCTGGGATAATTACTAATAGCATTCCCTTTCTATCTTAAAAGTATTACCAAATAAGAAATTACATGGTTACTCTATTTATGCCTACCATTAAGACTTCCTTCAAGAAAAAGCTAATTTTCAGTTTCTGGAATACTGAGATTCCTGGGTTTTGTCTGAACCAACAATCAAATGCTTTAGGAGATGAACATAAATCATTGCTGGGCTTTCTCATCTACTAGCAGGAGAGAAAAATGGTCAATGACATTGGAACAACGAATAATTCAAAAGGTCTGATGTGGTTAGATGCACTATCAAAAGGGATTAGAAATCCCTGCTCCAGTGACTAACTTTTTACTGACCTAGGAAAATAAGGATTCAACAATTTTAAGAAATTCAAGTTGATTTTGTCCAGTTCTAAGCAATGATAACCAAGACACCTATTTTGCAAACACTGAAAGAGCCCTCCTTGATATATTAGATAGTTGCTAAATGAAGAAAATATCAAAACCTGCTAACAAAACTTTACTTCACTCAAAGTCAAGTAATACTAACTCTTAAAATGAAGTGGAAAAGATGTATATCTTCATGAACATAAATGCTTTATCTTGATCTAGGTTTAAAAATATACCTTTACCTAGGTAACTAGTTGGAAGGTAATATGCACTCATTTCTTTCCTCTATAGAGAATAATTCATCTCAGAAGACAAGGCTGGAAAAATTGCAGAAGAATAATTAAATGTTCACTAAAAACCATGGGAAATGCTTTCTTAGGCAGGACTTAGGTACAAATATGGGAGACAAGGAGTAAACCATTAAGGGATACTATTGCTTAGTGGTTGCCACAGATTTAGGTAGCAACTACACCAGTGGTCTATCATTCACTTTCTGAGAGATACCAAAATCTATTCTGTTCATAGTTCGTGGGACAAATGAATAATATTCTCCAAACAGAATAAAACAGAATTAACAGAAGGCACGAAAAGTAAGTGTTTTGGCCCACTGATTTATCTGGTTATTTGGGGTTTCAGCCAAAATAGCATTCCTCTTCATACTTAACTCTAATTCCTGGTTAAAGTGTTCAAGACTACCTAGTTTAACATACTTAATCCACAGAAAAGGAAATTAAGGCACAATAAAGTTCAGTGACTTGTCCAAGGTAAAGTTACTGAGTAGCAGAGGTAGGCCTGGAATCCAATTTCAATTCCCAATCAAGGTACTGTCTTTTTTTTTTTTTTAATGTTTATTTATTTTTGAAAGAGAGAGCATGCATGCATGCGAGGGTGGAGGAGGGACAGAGAGAGGGAGACAGAGAATCCAAAGAGGGCTCCACATTGACAGCAGAGAGACCAATGTGGGGTTCAAAGTCATGGAACCGCAGGATCATGACCTGAGTCGAAGTCAGGTGCTTAACAGACTGAGCCACCCAGGCGCCCCTAGACATTACTGTCTTGAATAACTGCCTCACTATCGAAGAATAGCTACTTGTCTCTTCAAGGGCCTGTAAATTCAATTCCTGGTCCTAAAGAAGCCATTTGTTCTCTGCCATTTCTCAGCAAGACAATATAATCAGAGCCATCAGCCTTAGTTCTGGTTATATCTAAATATGACAATACTCTAACTAGAAACAGCTACTCTTTCATTTCAAATAACACTGTTAAAAATATTCCTAAAATGTACCTGCATTAGTACACTATTAAGTATTTTTGTTTTTGTCTGTCTACAAATCTCCCAGAGTCATGAGAGGAAATATCCAAGTCTAAAAAGGGAGGTCAGGGCTCCTGGCTGGCTCAGTCAGTTAAGTATCTGTTTCTTGATTTTGGCTCAAGTCATGATCTTACGGTTCATGAGTTCAAGCCCTGTGTCAGCGGAGCCTGTGTGGGATCCTCTCTCTCTGCCCCTCCCCAGCTCATGCTCTCTCTCTCTCACACAGAATAAATAAACTTAAAAAAAGGGGAGGGGGTCAAATCTAGGTTTATTATGGTTCAAAAGACCTCAGCTGAGGTGAGTCCTAAGCCTAGAAAGTCAGATTCTGGCTTTAGCCACACAAAGGAGGTTACTGAAAAGCAGGTAATCATAATATCCAGAGAAGTGGTTCCTAAGAGAGAAAATGGACTAAAAGGCTCCTCTTTTGTGAGACAATTTCAAAGAATAGGCACATGGACCTTTATAGAAGAGTGCTAGGCACTCTTAAGCAGGTCACAAGTTCATAATAAACATGCCTTATTGAGTCAGATGATACGGTCATGACTTTCTAAAAAGAAGCAAACTACGTTTACTTTCAGTGACCCTGGCACAACTCATCCCAATATCTGGTATGCAGATGATCAGTATCATATATTTGAATAAAATATAAAGCAGCTGGAAAATTCAATGATATTTCCAAAGATAAAGGGCTTAGACTTAAATTTGCTCTCAAGGAGAATCTAGTTAACAAATACCACAAGTGAATACCATCTTACATTTCTACAGTACTTTCACTAACATTGTATTTAATCACCACAGCCACTCGGAAAGGTAGGCAGAACTGTTAGCAATCTCCACTTCATAGCTTAACTAAGTCATAACAAACCTGGAACTCAAATCTAGTTCTACTCCAATCAAAACACCCTTTTTGCTATTTCTCATTTGTCCCTTAACATACACAGCCATGATGAAACTTTCAGCACTACACACACACACACACACACACACACACACACCCATTGTATTCTCTATCCTCCAGTGCAACAAGTCTTAAAGTATGGTCTGAAGGGTCCTGGGCTTCCTAGACCTTTTCAGAGCTCCTAAAGGGCAAAGCTATTTTCCATAAGAATTGGTGGGTAAAACCAGTGGGCCCCTTGGCACAAATCAAATTGCTCTTTGGCATTTTGTCCTTTGGCAAAATAAAAATGGTAATGTGGGGGTGCCTGGGTGGCTCAGTTGGTTGAGCATCCGACTTTGGC